CATCGCAGTCCTGAGTTAATGATGACTCCAAATCCAACCCTGTTAAGTCCAAGAAAGGACTGAACTTGATCACCGCCAAGGTTCTGGTTTCTGAGATTGCTCAAGGAGCACACTTGTACGCCTTAGTTGGTCGTGGGACTTCCACTGAGTCTGACGAACTCATCCCTCAGGAAGTTCAACCTATTCTTGGGCAGTTTGCTGATGTCTTCCCTGATGCTCTCCCGGATCAGTTACCTTCGCTTAGAGACATTCAGCATGCCATAGACTTTGTCCCTAGAGCCTCCCTTATTAACCTGCCACATTATCACATGAACCCCATGGAACATGCTGAACTCAAGAAGAGTGTTGATGAGTTACTGCAGAGAGATTTCATTAAAGAGAGTCTTAGTCCTTACGTTGTACCAACCCTTCTTACTCCTAAGAAGGATGGATCTTGGTGAATATGTGTTAATAGCCGTGCTATCAACAAGATCACCATCAAATATTATTTCCCTATCCCAAGGCTGGACGATATGCTTGACATGATGATGGGAGCCACTCTATTTTTCAAGATCGATCTCAAGAGTGGATACCACCAGATCCGACCCGGTGATGAGTGTAAAATTGCCTTCAAGACTAAGGATGGTCTCTACGAGTGGTTAGTCATGCCTTTCGGGTTGAGTAACACCCCGTGTATTTTCATGAGGATCATGACTCAAGTGTTGTGCCCTTTATGGGAAAGTTTGTCGTCGTCTACTTTGATGACATTCTTATTTACAACAGTCGGCAAGTCATCATTTGAATCACTTAATGCAAGTCTGTGAGGTCCTAAGGAAGGAACAATTTTATGTCAATCCCAATAAATATACCTTCCTTGTAGATCATATTATCTTTTTGGACTTTATTGTGTCATCCCAAGGGGTCTCTACAGATCCCGAGAAGGTGATGGTCATTGTAGAATGGTCTATTCCTCAAAACATCTGGGTTTGCAGCTTTTACGGACTAGCCACCTTCTATAAGAGATTTATCCAAAATTTTAGCACCATTGTATCTCCTATCACTGACTGTCTTGAGAAGGGTGATTTCCACTGCACCCCGGCTGTCACCAGAGTTTTTGATGAGATTAAGAAAAGAATGTTTGAAGCCCCAGTGATGAGACTTCCTGATTTCTCTAAAGTCTTTGAAGCGACCTGCGATGCTTCAGGGGTCGGAATTGGAGGAGTTCTATCCATAAAAGGTCACCCGGTAACTTATTTCAGTGAAAAGCTAAATGACATTCGGCAGCATTATTCCATGTATGACAAAGAGTTTTATGCTATGATCCAATCTCTTCGTTATCGGCGACACTACTTGCTCCCGCAAGAATTCGTTATTTTCTTGGATCATGAGGCTCTGTGTTATATCAACTTGCAAAAGAAGTTGAATGCACATCTTGGTCGATGGGTCAAATTCCTTTAGGAGTACACTTATACCCTTAGACATAAGGCGGGAGTAGAGAATAAAGCTACTGATGCTCTCAGTCGTCATATGATGACTACCACTGATATGAGAGCCGAAGTCGTGGGATTTAACCAAATAAAAAGGGACTATTTAGAATGCCCCAACTTGAAGGAGACTTACTCTCTATTGTCCACAGGCAGCACATGCCTTTTGGACGATTTCCTTATGGAGGATGGTTATCTTTTCAAAGCTCAAAAGCTTTGCATCCCTGGCACTTCCCTTAGAGAATTTCTTGTTTGGGAACTCTACGCCGGGGGCCTCGCTGGGCACTTCAGTAGGGATAAGATGATTAAAGCCATGGAGTATTGTTTATTTTGGCCCACTCTGAAGAGGGATGCTGGATGGTCAGCAAGCGTCACACTTGCCAGCTGGCCAAGCAACGCTAACAAAACACTGGTTTGTACACCCCTTTGCCTGTCCCCAATTGTTCTTGGCAGGACGTTAGCATGGATTTTATCTTAGGCCTGCCTAAGACTATCCATAGGAATGATGCCATCTATGTTATAGTCAATTGATTTTTCAAAATGACCCATTTCCTATCTTGCTCCAAAACATCTGATGCCTCCCACATTGTCAAACTTTATTTCAATGAGGTCGTTCGCTTACATAGTTTACCCAAAACCATTATATCGGGCAGGGATGCTAAATTCACCAGTTATTTTTGGAAGACCCTTTGGATGAAAATGGGCACTAAGTTGCAATTCTCCACAACCTTTCATCCACAAACTGATGGTCAAATCGAGGTAGTCAATATGAGCTTAGGCAATTTGTTATGATCCCTGATAGGCGAGCATATTAAGGATTGGGACTCCATACTCCCCACAACTGAGTTTGTCTATAATAATTCTGTGGACTGAACCACTGGCCTAAGTCCTTCTGAAATTGTTTATGGGTTCAAACCTAAATAGCCGTTAGATCTCATACCTATGTGTTATAGGTATAGGATTTCTGAGTCTGCATCCTCATTTACATCACATATGTATGAACTTCATAAAGAGATTGCATGATAAATCAAGGTTTTAAAAGGTGAAATCGGGAATCAAGGCGTTTTTTCTAAGCAAGGCGAGGCGTAAGCCTCGAGGCGGATCAAGGCGTAAGCCTCAAAACGATTAAAATAAATTAATTTAAAATTATAAATAATAAAAAAATAACATAATATTATGTCAACTATTAATTTGAAGATTTGTTTTAAGATAATATTAGTGGAATACAAGATTTAAAATAAACTCACTTAAAAATAAAACATCCCCTTAGGATCAAGATCCAAAGCAGGCTCATCATCACTTTGATTGTCTTTAGAAGAATTTTCATAATTAATGTTAAAATC